TACCATGTTACGATAAGAATGAAATTGATAGAAAATGTGAAGTACAACCCTAGATATAGCTAACCCTAATCATGCAAGTAAGTAAAAATGTAACACCTAGACTAACCTAAACAACACATATAAAATATATGTTGACAGCAGCTCGTCAACAATGAGGGTCAGCCGCCATTATCGTCTAGCTCGTCCACGCATGTCTGCCGCCAGCCGCCTTCACTACGCTGCTTGACGACGCTGAGTCCGACGTCGACCTGTCCGAGCTCGACCGCGACATGCACGCTGACCCGAAACACCGCTGGGACAGGAGGCGTTGGCGAGCTAGAAGGGCAAGGGGGTGAAGGCCGCCATGGACGAGGAGATCTGCAGCCTCATCGCCAATGGCACTTGGGAGCTGGTCGAGCGTCTGCGCGGGGTGAACATCATGAAGAACCGGTGGGTGCTGATGACGAAGTACCATATCAACAACATGGTCGCCCGCAAGAAGGTGAGGCTGGTTGTGAAGGGCTTCACGCAGGTGTACGGCGCAGACTACGACGAGACATATGTGCCGGTTGGTAGCTACGTCACGTTGAGGATCTTTCTCAGCATTGTCGCCGTCCTCGACCTGAACCTGATGCAGCTTGACATGAAGAACGCGTTCCTACAGAGCAAGCTCGAATGCGTGCTCTACATGTACCAGCCGGACTACTACAACGACGGGACCGGCTACGCGTGCAACCTGCTGAAGAGCCTCTATGGGTTGAAGCAGTCGCCGCTGCTGTGGTACTCGACGCTCGACGCAGTGCTGACCGGAGCGGACTAGCAGAAGAGCCAGGTCGACAAGGCGCTGTACTTCAAGGTCGGCGACGACGGAGTGACGTACTGGGTGCTCGTCTACGTTGACGACCTGCTAGCCGCGAGCAGCAGCCTCATGATGTTGAAGGAGCTGCTGGAGGCCGCCTTTGAGCTGCGGGGAATCAGCCCGATCGAGAAGTACCTCGGGTTGGAGATCGTGCGCGACAGACCGGTGAGGAAGATGTGGCTGCACCAGCAGTCGTACGTTGACAAGCTGCGCATGCTGTTCATCGACGAGGAGCAGGGCGGTCGGATCCCGAAGACACCAGTCTCTGTCGACGCCTACGCTGAGCTGACGTTTGACAACGAGGCTCAGTAGCACGAAGAGGAGGAGTACCGGCAGAAGTTCGGCTCGCTGCAGTTTGCGGCGACGATGACGAGGCCGGACATTGCCTTCGCGTGCAGCAAGCTGGGCAGTGGCCTGACGGTGAGGAGCGACCAGCACTGGCGTGAGGTCGACCGCTGCCTCACCTACCTCGCCGACACACTCGTGCCACCGCCATGGAGTTCGGCGGTGGAACAAAGTCGCTGAGTCTGGTCGGCTACATGGACGCCGACGACGCGGGCGACAAGCAGAACCGGACTACGTGTTCGTCTTCTGGTCTAGCCAGCGCATCAAGTGCGAGACGCTCTCTTCGACCGAGTCGGAGTACGTGGCGGCCACCGAAGCCAGCAAGGAGGCTTGTCGACTACGCTTCCTCCTTGCAGAGTTCCAGCTGCTTGACGCTGGGATGCCGACCGTCCTTCGGGTGGACAACCAATCGGCCATGTTGGGTGCCCAAGCGTGAGCGCCGCAGGGGAGTGTTGACGGTAACAGAGTGTTGGCCCCGCCCTCGCTTGGCTGAAGCCGACGTAGTGGTCGGGTGCGCGGGAGGTGCGTCCGACCATCCGCAGAGGTTGACGCGTGCAGGTCGAGGGAGTTGGTCGACCTGCAAAAGACTGCTGCGGAGCCGCCGACGATTGGAAGCCGGCGGCAGGTTTCGACTGGCGTGGTCGACGAAGGGGTTCGTCGACCTGCCTAGGAGAGTGGTCGACAAAGGTGATCGTCGACCTGCGCGGGACTATCGAGGAGGTCGTCGAAGATGGCAGTTCGACGGCAGCGACCGACCAAGGTGGTCGACGGAGGGGTCCTTTGACTCCCCGCAGCAGCACTCCATCCTTGCCTGGAACATCACCGCAGGTCATTCCTGCTGCTCCCTGCTTCTCGATGCTGCCGTGTGCTCCCTATGTGGTGCTATGCATTAGTTGGTATCTGTTGTCTCGTTGGTGTCTGATTGTTCATCCATACTTGATGGGGTTGAGAGGCAGACAGACCGAATCCTCGGTGTATCTGCAGCTGCTGCTATCGTCGACCTCCCTCTGTTTTGTCTGTCCCACTCCACCACCCATTATTATCTCTCACCAGGAATAGCTCACTCAACATCGCTCCCTACCATGCTGTACCCAAGCTCACATGCGTGTGTTACTTCCTCAACGCTTGTTACAGTTCCTTCGCTTGTCGAGGTCAATGATTTTACTACCTCGCCTCACTTCAATTCTCTCTCTATTTGCGTTTCTCACTCTTTTTCCAGGCCTTCCAGAATCAACCACTCTTATAGGTACAACTTATTTGAGTCGGCTTATACCCACAACCTTCCATTTCAATGGCTTGGTTCTCTTCCTTCCTGCGTCCCTTTGGTCATCCGATTCTCTTTCAAGTCCTCTCCCAAATCCTTCACCAGTTCCACTGCCCCCATTCAGCACTTCCTCCATTCTACCCCATTGCCCACCCCCCCCCCACCCCCCCCCCACCCCAACGGCACCAACTACGCCTCAAGTCGTTAGCTTCCTTTCCACTTTTCCCACGCATGTTATGTCATTCCTCCCACCCCACCCCTCCCTCTACTACCCTACTCTACTCTACCCCACCGTCCCCTCCCCTCTCCGCCGCCCACCAGGCCTGCAGTTTGGGGTGCGGATGAGTGAGGCATCGCTGTCACCAGTGAGGGCGAACATGTTTTTCCGTTAAGCCAGTGCGGGCGTGCAGGCAGTGCAGCCAGCAAGCGGAGGAGGGGGAGGGGGAGGCGGAGGGGGCGAGGAGGAGGAGGTGTGGGTTGTGAGCCAGGGGCCGACCAGGGGCTGCCGTGGCCCGTCCAGAATCAGGGCGCCTGCGGTGAGGGCATGCGGGTGGGGGTGGGAAGGGCAGGGGAGGGGAGGAGGGGGGAGGTGAAGGGAGGGGAGGTGAGGTTAGGGGAGGGTAGTCGAGTGGAGGGTAGGGGAGTGGAGGGGAGGGGAGGGGGGGGAGTGGAGGGGAGGGGAGTGGAGGGGAGGGGAGTGGAGGGGATGGGATCATGGGAGGGGAGGGGGAGTGGAGGGGATGGGATGGGAGGGGAGGGGAGGGGAGAGGAGTGGAGGGAAGGGAAGTGGAGGGGAGTGGAGGGAAGGGGTGGGATGCTGTTGGAGGAGAGGGGATGGGAGGGGAGGGGAGGGGAGGTGAGGGGAGGGGAAGGGAGGGGATGGGACAGGATGAAATGGAATTGGATGTGATGGGATGAGATGTGTGGGATGGATGGGATGTGATAAGTTTTCTTCACTTGGGGCTTAAAGCGCGAGAGGAAGTGAGAGGTCATGAGAGGGCAGGCAATGTTTGAATGCCCGTGTTGACAAAAGGGCTGCTGTGGCTTGTCCACTCCTGCCCTTCCCGTTATCCCCTTCCCTTTCTCCCCTTCCCCACCCTCTTCCCTCGTACCCCCTCCTGCTTTCCCATCCCAGCTAAGCTAAATACTAGCCATACACAGTCTTGGGCAGCATACAAACCCACTTTAACTTCCCATCACTTCAACCCCACCCTCCTTCCATTCCCCAACCCCTCTCTCTCAGGCGACTGCTGGGCATACGAGGTGGTGGGAAGCGTGGAAGTGGCCTACAGCATTCTCTCACCTCTCTGCAGTGCCGCTCCTCTCTCACACCCAGTTGCGCAGCGCCCTTGGCTCCTCATGCTTGCAGGGTAAATCGCCCTCCCAGGCCTTCCAGTACCTCGTCACTCTCAACGCCAAGAGCAAAGTGGGGCTCGCATTGGATGACAGGGCTGGGGGGGGGTGGTGAGAGGGGGCGGGGGCAAGAAGAGTGGCAGCCAGAGCCCACTGAGTGGCATGCCCATCTTTGCTCTTCTCGTGCAAGCACTTGGGATCTCCTGCGGCAAAGGCCGGGCCCCCGGATCGGTATGCTTCTTTTCTTACCTTGTTTTCCTTTGTTTGGCGCTAGGCGGCCTAATGTGGGTTTTGTCCACCAGAGGCCACACCCACCCCAGGATCTTTATGTTACTTCTCTTTCCCGGTTTTATTATTCTACTGGCAATGTTTTCATTTGAATGCAAGTACAATTGGATTCACCTGGTTGGGATTTCTAAAAAAAACGTCCACAGCAAGTGCCTGATCCATCTAGTCATTTCTAGTCGTTTCATCAGATGTGTCAAGGAAGGTGCCTGACCATGTGCCTCATGGATCCTGCACCAGGTGCCTACTCCGGCCCATTGTCTTGTCATGCTATATATTCTTAGCATCTCAAATCCCTCATCAGGTGCCATCTTCATTCTCAGGTGCCATCTCTATTGTCACGTGTATTGACCTCCTCAGTTATCTTGTCATGTGCCTAATACAATCCATTGATGTTGTTGTTGTTAGAATGAGGCTGCCTTGAGATTTGCGGTCTTTGTTTAAAAGGACCTACATAATTAGTTGCACTCGCATACAATGTCTACTGGCAAAGAAATACACTTTTGAGAATTCTCAAAAGCGATATTGTGACAAGGATTTGCACTCAGGAAGAGGTGACTCTTCAGTCGACTCAAAAATCACCTGGTTTTGCAATCATGAAGAGAGACACTTGCTTTAATAGGGAGGTCGCATCCACGTGGACAGGTCACACTACTCATCTCAGAAAGGACCATCTGTCTACCACAGCCTCTCCAAGCACATTGACTGACGTCCATGCGCCACTATTTCCTTCGTTTGTGGCCCGCTTAAGGCGCTTTTGCAGTTGCACCACTACTTCCTTTATTTTGCAAGGTCAAGGCCAGCTTAGGGTGCACACAGCTGTGTGCAGCGTGGCCAGCACAAGACGGAGCACATCCTCACACACACCCTCAGGGAGCAGCTGCACCAAGCACGTTGAACTTCACCACCATTTCCATGTTGTCTTGTCCCGGATTCTACATCCCACATACCCTCTCCCCTAACCCAGCCCCCCTCCGTCACCTCCCATATGCCCACCCCCCCCCCCCTCTTCCCCTACCCCTCCCCTATCCCCCTCCCCTACCCCTCCCCTATCCCTCTCCCCTACCCCTCCCCAATCCCCCTCTCCTACCCCACCCTTCCTCCCGTACCTCTCCTCCCCTGCCCCTGCGACAGAGCAAGCCATCGGGGGGCCCGTTCAGAGTGAGCGGGTTTGAGCGCACGGCGTTCCACGGCTGGTTTGGGCTGCTGCTGGCCGTGCAGCGACAGCCCGTGGTGGTGCATGTGCAGGCCACTGCCCCCTCCTTTCTTGACTATGATGGGGTGAGCCCACTCTAACTCACACACACACACACACACACACACACACACTCACTCACTCACTCACTCACTCGCACACCTTTGAGGGCCAGTAGATCTACTATGGAAAATGGGAGTCGAGCCTTTGCTGCAATGTCAACCACGTGTCCCACATTTCATTCCATACCCGTGCACCTCTCACTTCTCCCCCACACCCCCCCTTCCCCTTCCCAACCCAGCTGTCCAAGTACGCAGACCCCTCGTGCTTCACGTACAACCTGAACCACGTGGTGCTGCTGGTGGGCTATCGCCTCACCGGCTCAGACCCCACCTTCCCGCACATGGCGCCGCCCTTCTGGATCATCCGCAACTCATGGGGCCCGGAGTGGGGCGATGGCGGGCACATGCGGATGGACATCCAGGGGGGCGACGGCGTGTGTGGGATCAACACGCTGCCTGGGATCTACCCGGTGGTGCGCGCTACCAAGGACCCCTGCAACGTCAACGGCACCACCAGTGGGGTGTTTGGGCCGCTCTTCAACCCCTGTGGCAACTTCACGTGCACGCCCACGCCTGATGGGGCCAGCAACCACTGCGACTGCAACGACCCGCGATTCGTTGAGGCGCTTCAACCGGACAACTCGCGCACATGTGCTTACAGTGAGCACTCTCCTTTGTGCTTCCAGTGAGCGCTCTCCCTTGTGCTTACAGTGGGCGCTCTCCCCTGTGTTTACGGTGTGCACTCTCCTGTGCTTACGGTGAGCACTCCTCCCGTGCTTACAGTTTGCGCTCTCTCCTATCATGCCTCGTGTGATGCTTTCGTGTCTCAGAGCACATGCAGGTTGTGCAATTTTTCACTGAGAGAAGATCATGGCCGAGTTTCCCTTGGTTGTGTCTTTCACCTCTTGCCTTGATGCCCAGAGGACGCATGCAGGGCAGCGTTGCACAATCCGTGTGCGGTGGGCACGTGTGTGAATGATGGCGAGGGGTCGTACTCGTGTGTGTGCCCTCCGGGCTTCATGCAGGGCACCACTGTTGATGGCACCTTCTCCTGTGCTCCAGGTGACCCCCCTCACTTGCGCTCCAGATGCCTCTCATTCTGAGCTCCACTTGTTCCCACTCTTATTGACATAATGCTGCTACAAAGCGTACTGGTAGATAACGCATCATCCCACATTGCAATGCTGGCTCTACAACCCGCCATCATTACCATCACTCCCCATTCACCTGCATACCCTCTCATGGCCAACAACCACACCCATTCCCTTCTGCACCACTCCTTCCGCACAACCACACCACTGCATCTGCATGGCACATCTCCATCTGCACCGCACATCCATCTGCATCACTCTGCACCGCACTGCACAGGCGACTCCAGCAGCACATACACGGTGGTGTCGTGGGGTGTCATGTGTGCTGACGTCCACCCCGTCTACGGCCTCACCCTCGCCCAGATGCAAGCCCAGAACCCTGTGAGCATCGTGTTAGACCCTTGCTTTCCTTCTTCTTGAGCCTCCTCGTTGCGCTCCTCATAAGAGTCTGGCCACAATCTCCTCGTCTCCTCACCCACCAACCACGCAATGCTCCCCCATCCCATCCCACCCCATCTGTCCACCCCCTGGCCCCTCCAGGGTCTGAGCTGCAGCACTCCTCTCGTTGTCGGCATGGTGGTGAACGTGGTCCAGCCAGCCGTCCTCACGCCCTGCTCTGTCTACTACACCACGTCCCAGGTCCCCCCCCTCCGTCCCTCCCTCCCTCCCACTCTCCCTCCCTCCGTCCGTCAGCCCGTCCGTCCGTCCATCTCTCCCTCCCTCCCTCCCTCCCTCCCTCCCTTCCTCCCTCCCTCCCTCCATCCGTCTCTCCGTCCCTCCCTCCCTCCCGCCTTCCCTCGCTCCCTCCCTCCCTCCCTCCCTCCCTCCCTCCCTCCCTCCCTCCCTCCCTCCCTCCCTCCCTCCCTCCCTCCCTCCCTCCCTCCCTCCCTCCCTCCCCCCTCACTTCCTCTTCTCCGTCTACTACATCACATCCGAGGTGCATACACATTCTTCTCCTCCACCGAAAGCCCTGCCCACACATCCGTGCTTAGAAAACACTTAGAAAAACTTAGACCAGGCATCAGTCCTCTTTTGTTTCGACAGAAAATCGAACAAAGGCTTCCAGAAAAGAAGATTCCTTCTACTGCAGAAAAAGCAACAAGCCTTTCTGCAAAACTAGCTTGCCCAATCCAGCGCAAAGCCCAGTCCGTTTTTTTCTTGATGCAATCTAACGTTTCAATAGCCTTAAATAGACCATCCATTTCTTCAGAGTCTTTAATATAAGTATCAATAAGCAAAGAAATTTCTGAATGAGTACGTTTCCTAATATTCTCCATATATATTCTCTTTAGGAGTCGAATTTTGGTTGATTGGCTGATTGGGAGGAGTAGCTAAATCAGGATATTTAGTAGTAGGTCCCAATATTTGGGCTAATTCAATTAAACAAAGCTTGATATGCAACATTTTATTATGGCTCTGCTTTTATAGTGGATGTTATATTGATTGATTACCTGTAAGGATTGTAGTAGGCACAGACACCTCCTTGAGTCCCCGTCTCCAATTTCACCTCACCGTCATGCATCTCTTTGCAGCTGGTTACTTACCTACCTACCTACCTACGTACTTACCACATCTATGCCATTTTCGCCTTCCACTCTCTCACCCCCTCTTTCCCCCTGTCCCCGCCCTCTCCCCCCTCCTCCCCACTCGCATTTGACTGCACGGCAAGTGCATGCGTGCATAGGCAGCTCATTCAGCTTCATGCAAGGAGTGTGCCCCAAGACTCGTGCGTACGTGGTTGGGACTGGCGACTGCTGCACTGGCCTGCAGGTCAAGTACTTCCGTGGAATCAAAGGGTGTTACAGGAAGACCAACGGTTACGATTGCATCGATAAGCTCGTCAAAGCCACCAGAGTGTGCATTCCGGACCAAGTGAAGATCAAGGCCGGGAAATGCGAACCTTGACATGGACATGCTCCCCTCCGCTCATTTCTCTCCATGCATCCCCTTTTCTCATAGTTCTAAACCATGTACATAATATTGATGTTTTATTTTCTGAATGATCTGTGGGAGTTCTGGCATCTGTAAGAATGTGCTCACAAACCCTTTCCAAGGAAATCGGCACTCATATCTCCGAGTTAAGCTGGGGTTTGAATATACCGACACACAAAGGGAACAAGCAGAGGGCGCACCATTAAGTTCAGGGCCCAAAATTTTGTATTGTTTAGTCTGGGTGGTGTACATTTCTGTTAGTCCTAGGGTTAGGTTTCCTATATTTTTGCTGTTTGCTCATTCCTTAGTCATTCATTCTTCCGTTCTCTCTTTGATTTTTTTTTCATATTCCAACACGCCAAAATCCGATGCCCTGCTGCACCGCAAACTCGCACGTTTCGGATTTCGCCGGCCGCGGCTTCTCATCGACTTTGTCGATTTCCATCGGGTCGGCAGTCGTGGGGGGGTGCCGATCGCTCCGCGCCGAAATTCCTGTTCGGTGCGTAAATTCGTGTTCCGTGCTGACCGCTAGTCAACGCGTCGAACCGCTCCGCTGCGCAGACAATATCATGTAGCTGCGATAATTCGCCGCGATAACCTGTCGACGAACTTCGTTTTTTAGTCCGGTACTGTAGGCTTGATTTTTTTCTCCTCGTTCAGGTCGGTGATGCGGTTGAAGAACACCTCCATCTGCTGCGTGTACTGCGCTACACTCTCGAATTGCTTATGTCGATGAATCTGCTGCCTCGCCATGTACGAAGTATTAATTGGTTCGAATCGTTGAATTAGAGCTGCCCGAAACTGCGCCCACGACCCTTTGCCTCAAACGATTTCGTTGTTGTAAATCCACTCCAGTGTCGGGCCTCATAACAGTGTAGCTACGAGCCAAATTCGAGTCGCATCGTAAATCAGGGTCGTGCATCCAACGGCCTCGAAGTAGATTTCGAGTACAGCTACGAATCGACGGACGTCGCTTCCCTTCGTGCTAGGATCGAACGCCTCCGGTAGCTTCGGCTTCGCTGCTTCGAGGTCGACTGTAGCTGATGCCGCTGTCGCGATAAAAAAAATTGGTGTCGCTTCCGGTGCTGCTGCTCTCGCTGCTGCGTTCACTGCTGATGTGGCGGCTGCGGACTGGTTCGCGAGCATCGCTTCGAGTCGTTGTAGCGTCTCGCACATCTGCTCCTGTTCGGCACGAAGGATCGCCAACTTATGTACGAAATTGTCGCCGCTTCCCTCCATGCGTGTTCCGTGGGGTTAAAAATTCGACGTGGAACTGTTTTTACGTACCCAAATTGGCGTGATCGTCGTCGCTCCCGCGGTTTCTTAAAGGTTGTGTTTTAGCGAATGAAGAACTCCGAGTGAAAACATGCTCTGGTTACCAAGTGTGAGGATCGATGATCGAGTTCAGAAAATATACTACAGGCACGATACAAGGTAAGGTAACCAAGTGTTACGAGAAGGTTCCTAGGTTCACGAGTCATCGAGAACAGGACCTTCCCCGAATTCGGTAGAATCAATTCGGCGGAATCACGCGTACGAAAAGTCACGCGGAATAAACCAAAATGGAACAGAATTTGGTGCATGCAACCTAATTCGGTACTAGAATTATAATAACTATAGTTAAGCAACGAATCTATGAAAACTAGCACAAATGATAATAGAAAATAGAATTAAGCACGAATAGTCAGAATAGTGGCATAAGTAGGAGTAGGTAGTTGGGTTTAAGTGGGCCTAGGCTTAGTAGCCTAGGCCAAGGGAGTCGAGCTAGATTGTGCCAAGGAGAGAGAGTCGAGAAAGTGAGAGAGGAGAATGAATGTTCACTATAGCACTAGGGTACATATAGCAAACAAAGAGGTGCACCACCTATAAAGTTAATATCTACATTACAGCTAGAACTACATGCAGGTATAAGAATATAATTCTGACACGAATGGGTAAGCATGGCTGCAGTACTCTCACAGTAGGACCTTGCATGTCAGGGGCGTGAGAGTGTAAACATAGACCAGGGTGGGAAAATGGGGGAGATCGTGCATACAGAAACATCGGAAACACAAGAAACCACAGGAGTGAGCAAGATGGCCGGGGGCAGGTCACCTTCCCCCAATCATTGGCGCACGGAAAGATAAAGGGCGAAACCCAAGGACACCAAGGGGAGGCGGGGCTCACGCACGAAGCGGTGAAAAGCAAACAAAAAAGTGACAGAGAATGTAAGGCTGGAAACTAGACCATTTAACACAGGAGAGAGCAGTACCATTGATGTTCTGCAGCTGCGCTACAGAGAGCGCGGAGGGGTTGTTGATCTTGTTCCGACGAAGCGTCGGAAAGCAGTGGTGATCAACCGTGCGGTGGTTGCTCGAGCATATACCGCAAGAATGGCATGAGAGGTTGACCAGAAGAGGCTCCATAATACCAGGGAGTCGGATCACTGGCGGGATGGCGCTGAAACCGGCGGTTCCCGGCGCGGAGACGGGGATGCGATTCATCTGAGTCTAGAAAATATCTTCGTAGGGATCATAGGCCATGTGGAAGTGCAGCAGGTTAGCGAGTCACTTTCGGCCAGCCTTGTTCTTGCAGGAAACCAGCATGGAGCGAATCTTCTCTTCAAAATACCCCAGAGGAATGTTACAAATGGCAAGACAGTGCTCACCACGGGCCTTAGCAGCCGTAAACTCGGGAGAGGGGTCGATGAGGGGTCGACGGTTTGACCGTGTGGAGGCTTGAAGGAGATCGGGAGCCGATCGCGAAAGTCGTCAACATCAGGTGGAAAACTATCAGCTGTGACATACTTGTGGAAGTGAAGTGGGGAGATGGATGAGTGGGCAACGGAATCCTCGATAAAGTGGCCTATATAAATTGTAGGATTGCTTTTCATGTACCGGTTTCTATACCCTGTTCTGTATTTCATTGGTGAAATTGAGTAAACCACTTGAAACCTGCATTTAGTTCGGCGACGCACCGCGAGGCAACCTTGGGTTCAAAATAATCAAGCATAGCCTTTAGTAAGGAAACTCAATAACGAAATGGAAAATTCCCTACATTATTCATCCCCATTAAGAAATGTGGACTACATTGGGCACGCG